GCACACGCACACGCACACGCACACGCACACGCACACGCACACGCACACGCACGCGCACACGCACACGCACACGCACACGCACACGCACACGCACACGCACACGCACGCACACGCACACGCACACGCACACGCACACGCACACGACGCACACACGCACACACGCACACACGCACACACGCACACACGCACACACGCACACACGCACACGCGCACACGCGCACACGCGCACACGCGCACACGCGCACACGCGCACACACACGCACACACGCACACACGCACGCGCACACGCGCACACACACGCACACACGCACACACGCACGCGCACACGCGCACACACGCACACACGCACGCGCACACGCGCACACGCGCACACGCGCACACGCGCACACGCGCACGCACGCACACGCGCACACGCGCACACGCGCACACGCGCACGACTCACCACACACACACACACACACCACGGACCCCCACACCCCCCCACCCTTGTTCCTTATTAGGATACACCCCCACCTACGTCGTATTCTGGCCGATAACGACCCAATCCGGGACCTCCCATCCGGACTTAAAAAGATCAATACAAAGTGGACGTTTTTCTTTTCAACATCGTCTTTCTTGTCGTCGACGATGCGAAAAGCGTGGCAGGAATGGGACGCGGCGCGCATCGCGCGCGGCAGTCAATCTGGGCCCGCCCATCCTGACTACAAAAAAACAATACAAATTCTTTGTTTTTCCTCTCAGCATGGCATGCCTTGTCGCCGACGGTGCGAAATATGTGGCAGCAGTGGGACGCGGCGCACATATGGGACGCGGCGCACATCACGAGCGCGGCCGTCAATCCGGGCCCGCCCATCCGACTGAAATCAATACAAAGTCTCCGCTTTTCCCTCTCAGATGGCCTCCCTTGTCGCCGACGGTGCGGAATATGTGGCAAGAACGGGACGCGGCGCGCATCGCGCGCGGACGTCCATGCGGGCTGCGGGCCCTCCCGCCCTTTTTATATAATATAATATATATATATATATATATATATATATGTATATAAGTATATAATAATAATACTATATTGTTTAAAACCAAAAAAAAAAAACGAGTTCCCGTTTTTCCTTTTCATCAGGGCCTCTCTTGTCCTCGACGATGCGAAATGCGTGGCGGGAACGGGGCGCGGCGCACAGCGCGCGCGGACTTCTGGGGCAACCCCAAGGCGGGAGGGGCCACGTTACTTGTCAGAAACAATGCCATGCTGATTTTCCCTGCCCACATAGCTGTTCTTGTCGTCCACCCCGCAAAAGTGCATGGCAAGAATTGGGCGCGGCACCCCCCCCTCCCCCCCCGCTCGGAGTGAATGAAATGACCTTCCCGCTTGGGCGCCGAGCGAAATTTTCTCAAAGTTGCGCTCCCGCATTTTTTAGCTCGCGCACGTTTTGGGCTCGGCGCACGTTTTTAGCTCGCCAATTCATTGGGCGCCGGGGCGTTCCAGGAGGCCCTGGGGTGACGAATGCCTGGGAGGTTTTTGCTTGTCCAAGCTCTTGGAGGGCCTCCTGAGGCTCCCCGCGGTTTCTTGGCTGCGTCTGCGGCCGTCTGGAGGCCATCTTGGGCGTCTTGGAACGATCTCTCGGCGACTCAAGGCCCCTCGGATCGTCTCGGGGGCGTCTCGGCTCTATTGGGGCGTTCCTGGGGCGCTCTGGGACCTGGATGTCAGCGCCGAAAAGGAAAACCATCGCTGGGACCGACGCGCCCAGGACCTGCTCGGGGTTCTTTTCGTCCGGGGGCCCCCAGGGGCCGCCCCGACGATATAAGATAAACGACGGGCATCGGACGCGACGCGCTTGCTTCTTATGTTGCGGGAGGGCGGGTGGGAGTGGACGGAGCCCTCTCGCTCGCCCGAGCTGGCTAACTTGACCCTCCCACACCCCCATCCTTGTTCCTTGTTATTATATACCCCCACCTACGTCGTATTCCGGCCGATAGCGACCCAATCCGGGACCTCCCATCCAGACTTAAACAAATCAATACAAAGTGGCCGTTTTTCTTTTCAACATCGTTTTTCTTGTCGTCGAAGATGCGAAAAACGCGGCAATAATGGGACGCGGCGCGCATCGCGCGCGGCCGTCAATCCGGGCCCGCCCATCCTGACTGTAAAATATATATATACAAAGTCTTTGCTTTTTTCCTCTCAGCATGGCATGCCTTGTCGCCGACGGTGCGAAATATGTGGCAGCAGTGGGACGCGGCGCACATATGGGACGCGGCGCGCATCGCGCGCGGCCGTCAATCCGGGCCCGCCCATCCTGACTGTAAAATATCTATACAAAGTCTTTGTTTTTTCCTCTCAGCATGGCCTGCTTTGTCGCCGACGGTGCGAAATGTGTGGCAGGAATGGGGCGCGGCGCGCATCGCGCGCGGACGTCCATGCGGGCCGCGGGCCCTCCCATCCTGACTGTTAACAACAATGCAGAATTGCCGTTTTTCCTTGCATCATGGCCTGTCTTGTCGTCGACGATGCGAAATGCGTGGCAGGAAAAGGGCGCGGCGCACATCGCGCGCGGATTTCTGGGGCAACCCCAAGGCGGGAGGAGCCACCTTACTTGTCAGAAACATTGCCATGCTGATCTTCCCTGCCCACATAGCTGTTCTTGTCGTCCACCCCGCAAAAGTGCATGGCAAGAATTGGGCGCGGCACCCCCCGCTCGAAGTGAATGAAATGACCTTCCCGCTTGGGCGCCGGGCGAAATTTTCTCAAAGTTGCGCTCCCGCTTTGGCTCGGCGTACGTTTTTAGCTCGCCAATTCATTGGGCGCCGGGGCGTTCCAGGAGGCCCTGGGGTGACGAATGCCTGGGAGGTTTTTGCTTGTCCAAGCTCTTGGAGGGCCTCCTGAGGCTCCCCGCGGTTTCTTGGCTGCGTCTGCGGCCGTCTGGAGGCCATCTTGGGCGTCTTGGAACGATCTCTCGGCGACTCAAGGCCCCTCGGATCGTCTCGGGGGCGTCTCGGCTCTCTTGGGGCAAATGCCCGCGCAGCCCCCAGTTGCGCCATCTCTGTTTCCAATGTTGCGGGAGGGGGAGGGCGGGTGGAATGGGCATGCCATGCTTGACTCGCTCGAGCTGGCTGGCTTGACCCCTTTTCCACACCCCCACCCCACCACCTCCATCCCCCCCCACCCACACCCCCCCACCCCACATTCCCCCATCCCCCCCCCTCCACCATCCCTCTCCCCACCCCCCCCCTTCCTCACGCCCCCCCTCCCCCCGCCCCCCTCCACCCCCACCTCCCTCGCCCCCCACCCCTTTTCCCCCTCTTCCCCCATCCTCCCCCCCCCACCGCTTCCACCGCACCACCCCCCCCCACCCCCCCCCTCCCCCCTTTCTCACCCTCCCCACCCCCCCCCCCCCACCTCCCACACCCCCCCCCCCCCCCCCCCCCCCCACCCCCCCACAACCCACCCCCCACCCCCCCACCCCCACACCCCACGCCACCACCCCGCCCCACGCCCCCCCGTCCCCCACCACCACCACACACACACTGACAACAGACACACAGGACACACAGACACACAACACATACACACATACACACACACACACACACACACACACGCGCCCACGCCCACGCCCACGCCCACGCCCACGCCCACGCCCACGCCCACGCCCACGCCCACGCCCACGCCCACGCCCACGCCCACGCCCACGCGCACGCGCACACGCGCACACGCGCACACGCGCACACGCGCACACGCGCACACGCGCACACGCGCACACGCGCACACGCGCACACGCGCACACGCGCACACGCGCACACGCGCACACGCGCACACGCGCTCACGCGCACACGCGCACACGCGCACACGCGCTCACGCGCACACGCGCACACGCGCACACGCGCACACGCGCACACGCGCACACGCGCACACGCGCACACGCGCACACGCGCACACGCGCACACGCGCACACGCGCACACGCGCACACACGCACACACGCACACACGCACACACGCACACACGCACACAAGCACACACGCACCAGACAACTGACACAAAGACACACAGGACACACAGACCCCGTAGGACCTCAGGCACAGGACACAGAGACAACCTCTGGGACACACAGACACACAGACACACAGACACACAGACACACAAAGACACAGACACACTGACACACTGACACACAGACCCACAGAAACACAGACACACAGAGACACAAACACACAGACACACAGACACACAGACACACAGACACACACAGACACACAGACACACACACAGACACACAGACAACACAGACACACAGACACAGACTACACAGACACACAGACACACAGACACACAGACACACAGACACACAGACACACAGACACACAGACACACAAACACACAGACACACAGACACACAGACACACGGACACACAGACACACCGACACACAGACACACCGACACACCGACACACGGACACACGGACACACAGACACACAGACACACAGACACACGGACACACGGACACACGGACACACAGACACACAGACACACAGACACACAGACACACAGGCACACAGGCACACAGGCACACAGGCACACAGACACACGGACACACAGACAC